CGCTTCAGTTGAGCAAGCCCGAAGGTAGAATACCCTGAACTCAGGCAAACTTTCGTCGCTGAGTTATATGCGCCCCCTAGCAGAAGCAAGAAGAAAACAAGTAAAAAAGCTAAAGTCGGGTGTCCCGACTTTGAAATACTCTGTATATATGTTTAGAATAATTATAGAATTCGAACTCACGTAAAAGGATTATAATTGCACATTTACAAAGCAATTGCGTCTATGTGAGTGTATGAATGTCTATGCGCGTCTATTCGTGTCTGTGTGAACATGTTTGCAGTCAACCAAAGCACCAGCATCAACAACACATGCGGGCAGCGCTTGGGCAGCAAATATATTTATGGCTATAATTTCTTGTTAAATAGGTCTATCATAGTGAAATTTGGCATACAGACACTAGAGACTAATCACTAATACCCCCTGTTAGTTGAGCTCGAAATTCCAAGAATTTCGGGAGTTAGAGAAAATTTCAACTTTGAAATACTCTGTACATATGTATGTGTACAATAATTATAAACTAAAAAAATTAGAAAAAAAACCTACAAAACACGTATGTAATACATAATTCCATAAATAGATATAAATTGTGTCTATGTAAGGATATGTATGTGTTTTTGTGTGTGCGCATGTATACAGTGCAAAGCAGAAGTGCAGTGCAAAGCAGCAACATCAACAGTTGCGGGCAGTGCTTGGTCTAAGATTATATACATACATACACACATATATGGCTATAATTTCTGTTAAATCTGCCTATCATGATGAAACTTGGCACACAGACTGATAATTCTTAGACAACTTGCACAGCGTACATATGTATGTACATACATATGGCATCTTTTTTGCAAAATTTGTTGTCTCTAGCTCTTATAGTCGACTAGTCTTGTCACGATGATCAAGAATACACATACTTGTACATACATATGTATTTTTATACTTTGTGGGGTCTGCCACGCCTCTTTTTGCCTATTACATTTTTCAGCTCGCGCAAATCTAATATACTCTTGTACACTTCATATACAGAGTATAAGAAAACCAACTTAATAATGTTATATTTTATAATTCACTAGCAGGTCTTGCCCGTCTTTGCTGGGCTAAGTAAAATGTGCTTATAATTGTAAGTTTATTTACTATATGATAGTCTTCTTTGGACGCTCTCTAAAGTTTTTTAAAAAGTTCCAAATAGCAAATATAGTACAATAAGTACTATATATGGCTATACGTACATACATAAATATGTACATACATATCTTCGTTACGCACCGGGTGAACTGCCAGTCCTGACTTAACTGTGTGCTTCCTCAGCACGTTGTACGCACGGTCGAGTTATCCCCGAAAAGTCTGACGCGGGACATTTAATTTTGATTTATAAATCGGGACGTCCCGCCAAAATTGGAGCGTTCGGCAACGCTGATAAGTAAATACATTTAAATTTTTCATGCAGGCGTTATCCGCCTACATACATACATACATATACGAAAAGTTATCTGTTATGCTAAGCAGGAGCAGCAATCATACCTTATAGAAGCCATATTCAATTCTTTTCATTTGCTGTCGAGTCCATTCTCGTTTCACTGTTTTCCCAATTTTTGTAGACCATTTTGCCGATATATCTCTCACAGTACTTCGCCGATTTTCCTTTATTATACTCGACAAACTTCTTTTGTCACGCAAAGTAACTTTTGGGACTCGACCTCTGTTCGCTGTATTACAGTGAATATTGCCATTCTTTCTGTAGCTTTTCACTATATTTTGAACTGTAAACTTAGAAAGCATAAGACTTTTCGATATTTCACCATAGCTGTTGCCAAAATTAAATTTTTTTAGAATTAAAGCTCGAACTTCCTCACAAACTGGCTTGCCACGTGCCATCGTGCAGAGAATAAAACTAAAACTACAACTATATGTCATATGTTTTTACTTTTCCTTCATCACAATATTCTAATTACCGTTACTTGTCCAGTTTTTGTTTACATTTTACATTTTTCACCGTTTTTTTTTTTTAAATAATGTTGCCGTACCAATTAATAATGGTCAAAATATTTCGTGTAGTATGAAAGTTGTTTTATTTAAATTGAGTTTTTTCATTTTGTTGATATGAAACTTGTGCATGTTTTGATATGAAATTAAAGGTAATTTAATGACCTTTTTAAAAAGTATAAATATGTTTGGCCAATCATCGCCTACAAATAAATATGAGTCATTGAAAGTTGCACTGTCGAAAAAAACCTTGCCGTACCAATTAATAGTGGTTAGGGCTCGTATAAGTATGTATTAAATTTTTTAATTCAACACTAATTTGTGTCTTCAATTCCAAATATGATTGTTGTGAATGTAAAAGGTGTGTTTCTGCTTTTGTAAATCGCATGAATAAACTCACAAAATAAGCTTAACGGTAATGACTCTTAGATTTGTTCAGAACACATTTGTAGCGTTGTTAGCTAACACTAAAACGGTAAGTCGCTGTAAATATGCGATCAGCTGAAATGGGCATTGTCGGATGCACTATGTGCTAGAGCATCAAAACTATCGATAGTTGAATCCGTCGATACAATCAATAATTCCATCGAAGTTTGAATGCAATTAACAGAAAATTTAAATAATAACATCTTATAATTTATTGAGATCAATTAGAACAAATCATATACAAACATACATACATATGTACATCTGCCCGCAACGCGGTTTCTGCTTTACTATCGCTTACGCAGTCGTTGCCTAGCGACGGTAACTGTAAACTTTTGGCATTTTGCCTTTGAAATTAACAGGCGTAAATGATCAAATCGAAAGATGAAGCGCAAGCCAATGACTTGCAGTTGTTGTTGTTTTTCGTTTTTAAAATTTGATTTAAAACCGTAGAACATTTTTTATTACAATCAAACAACAGTGCTCGATTGTCGAATGTATACATACATACACACAGGCATACATACATACATACATATGTATGTACATATGCATGCATGCATGTTTCTCTTTACTTTTTCATACATAGACACGAACTGTTGCTTTTCTGTGTGTGAGTGTGTGTATATGATGTCCCCAACTATTTGATATTTGCGTTCATTGTAATTCGTTGTTGCTGCATAAAGTTACTTATGAAAACCATAATGCCAAATGTACTAAACAAAGAAAAAATACCGTTAAAAATGTTAAATAATCTTTAATTAATTAACATTTCTTGCTCTGTCAGTGCAAGACGAATGAACATACATGCATACATAGATGTGTACATGTACATAGATGTGTACATTTACACATTAGTGCCTCACATTTTATTTTGGCTATTTCAATCATTTGCACGCATGTATGTATGTGTATGTATACTAAGTTGTCCCCAACTGTTTGATATTTTGCATTGTTTGTTCTGCCTGCATTTGTAGAATGCATATTTTGAAAATCCTTGAACGTAAAGTTGTAGATTTAGTTTCGTAGATTACAGTCCCCAAATTTGAAATCGATCGGAAAAAATGTATAGTACAAACTTTTCATTTGAAAAGGTGAATAAATATTAAAACCCCAATAATTCAAGCTCCACCACAAACTGTTTTATATATATAGAGATATATACATACTTATGTATGTATATACATAAGGATACATACATGAAAATACATACTATTATGTATTATGTATATGCTAACATTTTTCGGAGAGTGCGCACATCAAAAAGGATGCAGACGAAAACACGGTCTTGGCCTTTATGGCAATTATATAGTATGCTTTATAATCTTCAGTCTTAATTTTCCACAATGATGCCTTAGTTTAGAGCCTTACAATTAATTGGAGCAAAAATGCATTGCTAATTTGATGCTTGTTTAGCCGTCGATTGAAACATTTATATTATTCACGAACAAAACGGCTAACACTTAAATTTAACCCGAACACCTCTACTAACGTCGATCATTTCGTCGAACTGAACAAATTCGACTGTGGATGGCCTACTTAAGCAGCTGTTCATCAAAATAAAATATTAAACCAGGGTTCGTAACACGTGCTCCTACCCGTTGCTACCCATAAGGAAGCTGAGGCCGTGGGTCGAGTGAGCCGCTGCCTCCAGCAGCAGAGTCGTACGAGCGGGCCTATCGAAGCGCTCAACTCATTCGTGCCAGGCAAGCATATGTGCGATGTGTCAACTTTTTATGATGGTATGCTTGTGTGTATATGTATATTTCAAGACGGAATGGGTGCGATCCGTTTCATTCACTTAGCTGTTTTGAATGCGTTTGCATAGTGACACCTGATACTACATTTCTGAATGAATGCCTTCGATTTTTTGGCTATAGGAAATAGATTATTTGCAAACAAGAGAAAACGCTACAATCGAGCAAGCCCGACAGTGAAATACCCTGTACCCACGTTAACTTCCGACACTGGGGTAGAAGAAGAGCGAACTTGTTGCTGCAGTTTGGGGGGGTTGTACTGTAGAGAATTTGTTTCGCTAATAACTTTTCTTAGAATTGACCGAATTGGGGGTGGGGGGGGGGGGGGGTAAATTCCAAAAAATAAAATTAACTCGTCCTTTCTCGGACATAGGAGAATCTGGATACCAACTTTGGTTATTCTAGCTTTTATAGTTTCTGAGATCCTTGCGTTCATCCAGACAGACGGACGGACATGTCTAGATCGATTTCTCTCGTTATGCTGATTCAGAATATACATATATACTTTATGGGGTCGGAGATGCTTCCTTCTGCATGTTACATACTTTGCACAAACCTAATATACCCTTTTTACCCTACGGGTACAGGGTATAATAAATAAACTTGTTACTAATATATTTTATACTATCCTAAAGAATTATACGAATTACAATTATACTATCATAAAAATTTCATACATATGTACATATGTATGCCTTCCTGGCACGAAAGAGCGCTCGGATTCTGCAGGCAGGCTCGTACGACCTTCTGCCGGCAGCGATTCACGGCCAGCCGCGGCAGAATTTCCCGTAGGTCCGAATGAGTTGTGCTCGCATCTTACGAACCCTGTATTAAACACAATTTAAAAGCAACAGTTTTTATTTATTTTTTTTTTTTAACAAATTGGGTGTTTTTTTCAATACGGTAAACAATTGTCCGGGATTGTTATGTGAAAGCTAAAACTATCATCAACTACAGATTCATATAACATTTTCATGAAATTTTCAATGACTAGTTGAGGGTTGATTGATCTACACGCCAAACTTGGTAGCCTTTACTTCGCAGTTAGGCAGGCGAGTCATCAAATTACGCGCTACCATATCTATGTCCTTCACGTACAACATATCAAAGATCAGCAGCTGCTTTAGATTCCGCAGTTCTCCGATAATTTTTAGACCATTGTCGGTTATATTGTAACAGCCGGATACCTGTAGACGAGTCAGCGATGGAATTAGGTGGGTAAGACCCTCCAGGCCATCGTTTTCGAGGTGCTTGCATTTGTGGAAAATTACAGTATCAATTTGATTACAGCCTTTTAAGTGTTCCAAACCAATTTTCATAATTGATGCATTTGAGGCATCTATAACTTTCACCTGAAATCTAATCGACTCCGGTGGCAAAGAATTGTAATCCTTCCAAAGCTTTGATGGACTGTCAACGGTGCGTACACCTCCACCGTTTTTTAGCACCCACTCAGCACACAGGCGGTTTGGGCCCACTTTTGACAAACGATCCACGTCGACCTGATTGAATGCCACAGCTACATAGCCCCAAATTTTCCTCTCATTGTAATGTGAGCGAATGCGACCGGTACTTTGTAGTAGCCGTTTTGTAATGTTAGTAACATTGTATGGAAAAGACATAAACCAACTTTTAATCAAGCTAGTTCGGCAAATGGGAATTGATTCTAAAGTCAAATACGTTTTTTAAGATAGCGTCGAAACGGCTGGAACAGAGACGAAACCAATGGAAATGTTTCTTGACTGTTGCATATTATGTAATTTTTAGGTATGGTAATATTTCGATAGTTTTCTGTTGGTTACGATTTGTATCCAACCTTGATACAATTATTTGTATTTGATATGTTGTACGTGAAGGACATAGATATGCTAGCGCGTAATTTGATGACTCGCCTGCCTAACTGCGAAGTAAAGGCTACCAAGTTTGGCGTGTAGATCAATCAACCCTCAACTAGTCATTGAAAATTTCATGAAAATGTTATATGAATCTGTAGTTGATGATAGTTTTAGCTTTCACATAACAATCCCGGGCAATTGTTTACCGTATTGAAAAAAACACCCAATTTATATAATAGCACTAGTGAGACTCCTGTTTAATATACATATATCATTGTATATTGTTTAGCAAAGAAGGCTATGTTTAATCTTCATTTTCCTTTCTGGCTTTGTCAATGAAGCTAGAAAAAATATTTCTTGCACGAGGGAATACTAGTTTAGTGCGAATGTATGAACACAAAGGATGAGGTGTGAATATATACATACATATATTCTTGATTGTTATGACAAAACGAGTCAATATAGCCATGCCCGTCTGTCTCTCCGTGTGAACGCAAGGGTCTCAGAAAGTATTCAGATTCTCCTAAGGACAAAAAAGGCCTTTTTATTTTTCTGATACACCCATAACTTCAATTTTTTGGAATTTTGAACTACAATTTGGCGATTTCGGTAATTAGTAATGATTGGTCTCTTTGCATGTGGAAAATGTAACAGGAGGCAGATCCCACTCCTTTCAAAAAGATTTTTCGTAACGCATTCCGTATAATACCCTAGATCTCGGAGAGCTATAGACACCAAGTTTATAAGTTTATTATTCCGGGTTCGCTTACATTCGCAAATTACTTACCCACATACATATGAATATACAATTTATATACCAGCGTTGCCAGAATTTTGTTTGCCAAGTCGGGATTTTGATAATGATTAAGTGCAAAAAGCGGAATTCTTTCGAAGAAAGCGAGACATAGTGAAAAAATCATATATAATCAGAAGTTTTAAATATTTATCTCAAATATTAGAGTTTAAATTATGTTAAATTGACAATATATAGCAAAAAAAAAACAATAGAAAATTTTAAATTAGATTTACCCTATCGTTGACTACTCGAGTCTTACTCGTAATACAAGTAAATAAGCTTAAGTCGGGTGTCCCGACTTTGAAATACTCTAAACATATTTTTGGGCAGCGCTGCAGCAGCAAATATATTTGTGGATATAACTTCTTGTTAAATCGGTCTATCATGATGAAACTTGGCATACGGACACATAATGACTAACTGGGGGTATTTTATTTGAGTTCGAAATTCTAAGAATTACGGGAGTTAGAGAAAATTGCGATTTGCATGGGAGATGGTGGAGGGAGGGAAATTCCAAAATACACATTTTCTGCGTATTCACATAAGGCATGTGGGACTAAAATATGGTGTCCGTAGGTCTTATAGTCTTTGAGATATAGGCGATTATACGAATGAGCACGCCTCCTTCTGCCTGTTACATTTTCAGCTCCCGCAAACCTCATCAGCTCGCTGCACGCACTGCTGAGTTCCTGCCCCGCGCGGGACATTTAATTTTAAAATCGGCACGTACATATTCCCGTACACAAACTGAACTAGTTGTAAAATTTAATAATACGTACAGAATGCTGGATAAATTGTACTAGCTTACTAGTTGCCTACATATGTACATACATATGTATAAACTGAATTGTAAATTAAAGAAAATCCTTTACGAACTTTATATGTCTTCCCAATAGCTTTAAGGCTTTTAGCTTGACATAAAAACCCTGTACTTGAGATGTAAACCCAGGAGATGTGTCAGACCCCACAAAGTTAATATATTCTTAATCAGGATAACAAGACGAGTCGATATAACGATTTCCATCTGTACGTTTGTCTGTTTTGTATGAATGCAAGAATCTCAGAAAGTATGACAGCTCTAATGACTCAATTTGGTATTCAAATGCTCGCGAATGTGGAAATAGTTGATTCAAAAATCGATATCAGCGACCAGTATCATTAAATGTAAAATTTCACACATGCTCATTCGGGCCGATAGACGCAACCCTGCAGCGAAACTGTGACATTGTACCTGTTACTCCTAATATTTTGTCACTGCGTGGTATGAATACTTTCATTATTCGTGACAAAATAAATGAAACACACAACGTCGGTCGGTGCTGAAGTGTTCTCTAGTTTAGTGATTGTTAGTAAATACGATTGTGTAAAAGCAATAAATTTAATATTTATATAATATTAAAAAATCATTAAACAGCACCCATGTGAATTAAACGGCAAATCAATTACATGTATTTTTTCCATACCGTATATGCACATTCATACATACATACATATATATGTAAAATTAAGGTATACATATGTATGCAGTTACCGCAGTGCCTAACACGTATTGTATATGTATGTAGATACATATGTATATTAATGTTTTTAAGTGCCTTTTTTTTTAAAAAAATAAATACAACAACTCGCTACTAGATGGGAATGCCGCTGTGCTATACTCGTTTACAATTGAGTATATAAACTGCGACAACAGAATTAAATGCATACAGGCATAAAAATAAATTCTGAATGTGTGTGAGTGCACTCTCAGTGTCGATGGTGTCGTGACAGTCAAAATAACGTTTGAGTCAGTCCGCGCTAACGTCGCAATCTATATGAGCATCGAGCGTGTGAAAGCGAAGAATAAATACAGTCGGTCGGCAACCTTTACGCATTTATATACACAAATACCTCTTATATGTGTGCACCTACACATGGAGAGACGTAACAACCGCAGCAGGCATTAAGGCTCTGGGCGCAATTCATTTGTGTATGTACATACATATGTATGTATGTAAGTGTGGCCGTTGGCATTGATAATTTTTTGGCATTGTGAGTGAATGTTTCGACCATTTAATTTTGAAAATTAAAAGTTCTTATTAAGAGGATCTTAATAATTCATTTATGGGGATCAAAAGGAAAAATAGCATCAATATGAAAGAAGTATTTAATTTCATACAAGTCCAAGGCAGAAATCGTTAAAAAAATCTAAAAGAATTTATACTTTAATGTACCACTGATAAAAAAGGAGTGCTAGTATCCTGTGGGCCACACTAAAACACTCTACACATTTTAAAGAAAAATAAAAAGAATGTAATACACAAAACCCATTACCCACTTAAATACAACAGTCGAGCAAGCCCGACAGTGACAAACTTTCGACACTGAGTTATATGCGCCTATAGCAGAAGCAAGAAGAAGAGCGAACTTGATGCTGCAGTTTGTGAGCGTAATGCTGCAGTGAAATTGTTTCGTAATAATAACTTCTTAGAGTTTACCGATTTGGATGAAGTTTTTAAGAAAGAAAGATAATTGTATATACATACATACATATATGGATTACGTACGCAAAGTTTGGTTTATGCAGCGTTCAAAATGTGGATAGTATTGACTAAATTTTGTAGCTGGAGAGGGACTTGAAATCCAAAAAAAAAAATAAATAAACTCGTATGGACTAGGAACTAGGAGTCTACATACCAAGTTTGGTTAATGTCCCCTCAGTGGTTTCCGAATTGCAGGACACTCACCGTCGACCAACTTTGTGTGTCCAAGGATACATTTTTTGCTTATTTTAATTGTTTTTATAGCCTGCACACAAAGGGTAAAAGGCTATGCTAGTTTTGTGCGAATGTATGTAACACAGGAGGTGGCGTGGCAGTCCCCACAAAGTATATACACTTATTATTGATCAGGAAGACAAGTCGAGTCGATATAGCCATGTCCGTCTGTTCGTCCGTCCGTCTGTATGAACGCAAGTATCTCTGGAAGTACAAGAGCAAAAATAACCAAACTCGGTATCGAAATTATCCTAAGTCCGAGAAAGGACGAGATTGTGTTTTTTTTTTCTGATACAACCCCCCACAATTTGTGCTTTTTCGATAACTCCAGTAATTTTTGGAATTTTGCACTCAGATTTTGCAAATACCTCCAGTTAGTGATTTTGTGTCTGTATGCCATCATGTCCATCATGATAGGTCAATTCTGAAGAAAGTTATATCCATAATTAAAATCGCTGCCTATGCTATGCTTGTAGCTCTGCCCGCAGCTGTTGTTGCTGCTTCAACTTTGTGCTTTTGTGGAGAGTACAGGCTATTTAACTGTCGGGCATGCTCGACGATTATAATAAATTGAAAATATTCAATATAAACATGTAAAAAAGCTAAAGTCGGGTGTCCAGACTTTGAAATACTCTGCACATACGATACATACTCGGGTAAAACCTGCGCAATACTGAAATAAAAGGAATTTGAAAAATATGAATCTATTTTGCATGCATTTGATACGTCAATTACCATAAGGTACGCGTCCGGCCAAGAGAGGGTTTCTTTCAAATTTTATGTGTTTATGCGTGTCAGCATCCGTTAACACGAGGTTCGCGTCCAGCCAAGAGAGGCTTTAGTTCGAATTTCTCGAAAAATAGTGTCCGCGTCCGGCAAAAGAGAGTGTCTGCGAAAAACACCAAAACGAATGTTCTAGAAAAATTGTCCGTCCAAGAAGGGTGTCCGGTTAAAAGAGGTGTCCGTCAAGGGAGTTTTCACTGTATATACTTTATGGGGTCGGAGGTGCTTCCTTCTGCCTGTTATATACTTTAAACCTTGACCTATCATGATGAAACTTGGCACTCATATTCACTAACTGGAGGTATTTACCAAATTTGAGTATAAAAATCCAACAATTATGGAAGTTATGGAAAAAAACACGAATTGCGGGGGAGTGGGAAAAAAAACTTAAACTCGGTCTTAGGAGAATCTGAATATATAGTATGTATTGTATTTGTATTCTTTTATTGATTACAAAAACCAAATTTTAAGTTCTGAAGATTTTTCAAACAAACTTTGGAGATCGTTTCCCCTCCCTCTCCATCGTAATTAGTGATCTTCCATAACTTCCCTAATTCTTGGAATTTCGAACTCAAATTTTACAAATACCCCCAGTTATTGATTATGTATCCGTATGTCCGTTTCATTATGATAGACCGATTAAGCAGGAAGTTAGAGCCATAAATGTAATTGCTGCCCAAGCGCTGCCCGCAGCTGTAGTTGATGTTGGTGCTTTGGTTGTTCACATAATATGAGGACAACAAATGGTGAACAAATCTTTTTTGCAGTCAAATGGTCATGTAATATCGGTAGTCAAAGTCGGAAGACCTGACTTTGGTTTCTCCACTTGTTTTATGCTAAGTTTTATCATGATCCATACATTCGTAAAAAAGTTATAGCCATAAATGTAATTCTTGCTTAAGCTCTGCCACTAGACTTTGTTATTGTTGCTGGTTTGCCGCAACTCTGTAATGCACACATACTCACGCAAATTATCTAGTTTGAGTTAAAAATTTTTTTTTTTTTTTGAATATATACAAGTAAGCAGACTTTTTTGCCTAGAAACTTACCAATCGACATGTCTACATACATATGTATGTAGCTATACCCCTTATTTTTGTTGCTGCTAGTCTGTTGTTGTGTTTTCTTATTAGTTTTAATTACCCTTAATGCAATTTAGTAATGAGGTTATGCGCTCATTTCGTTTCTGTTGGCACTTGCTGGCCATATTCGTGTCACATTTACAAGCGTTGAAAAATCTGTTATTTGAAGTTGCTTTGTAGAGATGCAAAAAAAACATCGATGCCAATTTTGGATGCATCGAGCATCAACGATATTTTTCCCTATGATGCATTGCCGACTCAGCGCGTAGACCCCCAACTTTTAAGAATTAAAGCAGTAATGGGAAACTAAGTGAAAAACAACGAAAAAGTATTACAAACAAGTGGAAAAACTAAAGTCGGGCTCCTCGACATTGAAATGCTCTGTACCTCTCCATGGGTAGAATCTATATATAAAACAGTTTGCACAGACTGACTGATTGGTAATCAACGCACCGTCCAATCGGTAAAAGCTAGGAAGCTGAAATTTGGACTCAATTATTATTATTTTGCAATGAAGGTGAGCGACAAAAAAAATTTGGAAAATACGAACTCTAAAGATTCATAGTTTGTTTGAAAAACGTTCGACTCTAACTTACTATAATTTGTATACTCTCAGAAAAAATACATAATAAAAGTTACTTAAGGAAGTTATCCTGAATGAAAAAGTTGAGGCACAAAAGGACACCGCGTTAATCTATGAAAGAATACAAAAACCCTGCATACTTGGTTTTTCGAAATTTTTCTTAGAGCCTGAATTATGATATTTTAAACATTTTTATACCCTGTACCCAAAGGGTGAAAGGTTGCTGCTTTGGTTCAACTTTGTGCTGCATACATACACGCATATAAATACGCATAGACATGATACTGATATAAATGAATGCTGTTGAAATTGTACATAAACACTTATGTATGTATGAATGTCTTGAATATTTTTTTAAAATTTAGTTAATCAGGGTATTTTAAAGTTGGGCTCAATTGAGAATGATAACTATCGATAGTAGAGTCCATCGATGTTTTCGATAGTTTTGTATGAATCCATCGATACTATCCATAGTCCGATCGAAGTTTGAATGCAATAAAAAGAATTAAAGAATTATATTATAACTAGCAGGTATTGCCCGTCTTAACCCGGCTCAATATGTTTCCAATTGTATTTATTTTGTGTGTGCATAACCTACCCATATGTTTTCACCTTAAAGGTTACTAGTAGGAAGGCATTTAAGGTATTTAAATGAACATTTTCTGTTCTTGACAAAAAATTGTTCAGTAGTCCGTTACATTTTTGTTCTTGACAAACTATTTCGTTAAACGAACATGACCACTATAACTAATATTTTTTAAAGCTCGTTTTCCCCCCGTTGGAGCTAGAATTTTCCAAAAGCCTTTCTTAGTGTGCTCCTACACTATGATGGATACTATGAAACGATACTTGAGTCCAAATTTAAATTCACATTTGAGTCTTTTCGTGCCATATTGAGTCAATACGGCCACTCGTGTCAATGCCGTGCAGCGATGAGCCACGATCAAAAAGCACTGGCACCGATACCATCAAAATATCGAAGTTTGAATGCAATAAGCAGAATATTTAAATAACAAAATCTAATTATTTATTGACATCAATAAGAACAAATCATATACATACATACATCTGCCCGCAATGCGAAGCAGAATATGCGTAGCTCCGTTATTCGGTTTCTGCTTTACTATCGCTTACGCAGTCGTTGCCTAGCGACGGTAACTGTAACATTTTGGCGTTTTGCCTTTGCAATTAACATTAAATGGTCAAAACGAAAGAAGAAGAGCGAGCTAATGACTTGCAGTTGTTGTTGTTTTTAGAGCATTATTTTTTTTTACAATCAAACAACTGTGTTCGATTGCCCAATGTATACATTAATACGAATGTACATACATGCTATATTCATACACAGGCATACATACATATGTACATATGTACATATGTTTCTCTTTACTTTTTCAACCGTACGTAGAGAATCCCACACATAGACACGAACTGTTGCTTGTTGTGTGTGAGTGTGTGTATGTGATGTCCCCAACTATTTGATATATGTTGTTGCTGCATAAAGTTATTAATGAAAACACTAATGCCAAATGCACTAAACAAAGAAAAAATTACTTTTAAAAATGTTATCTATATATATAAAACAGTTTGTCCTGACTGACTGACTGACTGACTGACTGATTGACTGACTGACTGATTGGCAACCAACGCACAGCCCAAACGGTAAGAGCTAGAAATTTGGACACAAGATCCCTCTTATAGTGAAAGTGAGCACTAAGAAGGGGTTTCGGAAAATTCGAGCTTCAAAGGGGGGAAAACGAGCTCCAACGTTTGTATGAAATATCTACAATTTTTATCCGATTAACTTCAAACTTAGTTTGTATACTCTCACAAAGAATACAAAAAAAAAACTGTATACTTGGATTTTCAATATTTTTCCTGCGGCCTGAATAATAATGATTTTCCGGTGGAAAATTCGGTAAACGAAAAGCTATGTGCAATCAACGCACAGCCCAAACGGTAAGAGCTAGGAGGCTGAAAATTGGACACATGTTGTCTTCAGTGGTGTAGGTGAGCACTAAGAAGCGGTTTTGGAAAATTCGAACGCCAAAGGGGGGAAAACGGGCTCCAACGTTTGTATGAAAAATCTACAATTTTCATCCAATTAACTTCAAACTTAGTTTGTATACTCTCAAAAAGAATACAAGAAAAACTGTATACTTGGTTTTTCACCATTTTTCTTGGGGCATGAAAAAGGGGGGGTTTTCCGTGGAAAAATTGAAACACAATCAACACCCCACAGCCCAAACGGTAAAAGCTAGGAAACTGAAATTTGGGCTCAAGTATCCTATCATGGTGTAGATGCGCACTAAGAAGGGATTTTGGAAAATTCGAGCTCCAAAGGGGGGAAAACGAGCTCCAAAGTTTGTTTGAAAAATCCGCACTTTTCAACCGATCGACTTAAAACTTAGTTTCTAAAATCAATTAAAGGATACAAACAAAACTGCATACTCGGATTTTCGAAATTTGTGTTGGAGCTTGAATTGGGGTTTTAATATTTATTCACTATTTCAAATGAAAAGTTTTTGTTATAAATTTAGTCCGATCGATTTAAAATTTGGATAATGTAATCTACGTAACTAAATCTACAACTTTGCATTCAAGGATTTTCAAAATATGCATTTTACAAAAGCAGGCAGAACAAACAATACAAAATATCAAACACAACTAAGTATACATATACACACATACAAACAGCTGTTCGTGTAGTTGCGTGCAAACGATTGAAATAGCCAAAGCAACATGTGAGACACTAATGTGTGAATGTCCATACATATGTGCACATCTATGTATGTACATATGGATCTACATATGTATGTATGTATGTACATTCGTCTTGCACTGACAGAGCAAGAAATGTTAATTAATTGAAAATTATATAATATAACATTTTTAAAAGTAATTTTTTCTTTGTTTAGTGCATTTGGCATTAGTGTTTTCATTAATAACTTTATGCAGCAACAACAAATATCAAATAGTTGGGGACATCACATACACACACTCACACACAACAAGCAACAGTTCGTGTCTATGTGTGCGGTTTTCTACGTACGGTTGAAAAAGTAAAGAGAAACATATGTACATATGTATGTATGTATGTATGCCTGTGTATGAATACAGCATGTATGTACATTCGTATTAATGTATACATTGGGCAATCGAACACAGTTGTTTGATTGTAAAAAAAAATAATGCTCTAAAAACAACAACAACTGCAAGTCATTAGCTCGCTCTTCTTCTTTCGTTTTGACCATTTAATGTTAATTGCAAAGACAAAACGCCAAAATGTTACAGTTACCGTCGCTAGGCAACGACTGCGTAAGCGATAGTAAAGCAGAAACCGAATAACGGAGCTACGCATATTCTGCTTCGCATTGCGGGCAGATGTATGTATGTATATGATTTGTTCTTATTGATGTCAATAAATAATTAGATTTTGTTATTTAAATATTCTGCTTATTGCATTCAAACTTCGATATTTTGATGGTATCGGTGCCAGTGCTTTTTGATCGTGGCTCATCGCTGCACGGCATTGACACGAGTGCCGTGTTTCATATTCCGAGTTTGTGCGTGGCCGTATTGACTCAATATGGCACGAAAAGACTCAAATGTGAATTTAAATTTGGACTCAAGTATCGTTTCATAGTATCCATCATAGTGTAGGAGCACACTAAGAAAGGCTTTTGGAAAATTCTAGCTCCAACGGGGGGAAAACGAGCTTTAAAAAATATTAGTTATAGTGGTCATGTTCGTTTAACGAAATAGTTTGTCAAGAACAAAAATGTAACGGACTACTGAACAATTTTTTGTCAAGAACAGAAAATGTTCATTTAAATACCTTAAATGCCTTCCTACTGGTAACCTTTAAGGTGAAAACATATGGGTAGGTTATGCACACACAAAATAAATACAATTGGAAACATATTGAGCCGGGTTACGACGGGCAATACCTGCTAGTTTATTATAAATTTTTAATACAAATAAATATGCACATACTTCCCTTCCAATATGCAAGAATTTTTGATTAACAGTTGATTTAAATTTGCAATCTGTCCTAACGGACAATCAGCAAATTATACTGGAGGAACATTGGCATTATGATTTTGTATTATGTGTGGCTTTGTGGAGAGATGGATTGAAAAGTTTAGATTGTGCGATGAGGAAGGTCAAGCGGGTGGTATCTTCTCAGACGACGGGTGGAATTGCTGTTGTTAAGCAGGTTAATGGCGAGGGGATTGGTGTGCCTGTCCAGTCACTCTATGTGGGCTCTGCTCAGCCTGGTAATCTCCTCGTGAACCCAAGGGACACCGAGTTCGTTCTGAATCTCCACGGTTGAGTGGAATGGGTGCGCATTGGAGATGGTTCTGAGCGCTTTGTTTTGAAATTTTTGAATGATATTACAGTTGGTTCGGCAGGTAGTGCCCCAGATCGGAATCCCATAGGTCCACATGGGTTTCATTATAGCCTTATAAATTAATAGCTTGAAGCGCAGCCTCAGGGTGGACCTTTTGCCAACAAGCCAGAGATGCTTTTTCAGCCTTTCGTTCAGCTGTGACCTTTTGTTGAGTAGGTGAGGTCTCCAGGTTAGTCGCCTGTCTAGCACCAGACCCAAATACTTGGCTGTATCGCTGCTAGGGATGGTTGAGCCGTCCAGTTGTCAGTCGTCAGCATAGGTGGCAGTCAGTAGTCTTCTATCCGATATGATAGGCATGTCAGCGGTATATAGAGTATAGAGGACTGGGCCCAGTACGCTTCCCTGAAGAACTCCGGCTCTAATGTCTCTAATGTCCGAGCCTTCATCTCCGCACTTCACGAAGAAGATTTTAGAAATAAGTAGTATGGTGCAGGTAGGGCAATCAATCTTCAGCTTGTAGAGCAGTCCAGTGTGCCATACTCTGTCAAAGGCTTGCTTGACGTCCAGGAAGACTGCCGAGCAATATTTCTTTTCCTCGAATGCATCCAGAATGTTTGCAACAATCCTATGGCATTGTTCAGGTGTGCCATGACATTCTCTGAAGCCAAACTGGTGATCCGGGATCAAATTGGCCTCCTCAAGGATTGCTCGGACTCTGCGCAAAAATAATCTCTAATCTCTCAACTACTTTGGGTATGCAAGAATGTCGGCGTCTTCTGGTTCATTTCGATTCCCTATGTACTAACGCAGCATTATAATGGTGTCTGCCTCTGTGGATTGAATCACTGGAGTATTTTTGCCATGATCCTCTACGACGCTGAAAGGCTGCAGATCCAATGGGTTCGTACACATCAGAGCCTTATGCAGCTTAACTTTTCGAGAAGAATTATTTTCGTACATGTTAGCGGATTTATGTTTCCGGAATAGCACCGAGTCAAATGTTCTCTCATATAAGATGTTTTCTTTGAGGACTTGTGCCACGATTGCAATGATTGCATACAACTGCAAGTGCTTTCCCTGCGACCTTTTTAAAATGCTTCCACACAACAGAATTTTCTCTTTTTGCTGTTGCGCTTTCAGCTTTGGGTTCAGAGCCTGTCGTTTCTAAAAAAAAAAGAAGGGAAAAACACATTTTATTAACACATGAAACTTACTCACTAAATATGCTCGATATTTCTCATGCTCTAGACTCATCGAAAAAATCAAACTCGTGCTTTCTCGGACTTAGAATGGGGGTGGCAAGTTTTGTTATTCTAGCCTTTATACTTTCTGAGAACCTTGCGTTGGTGGCATTTGGTATAATTTAAAATTATGATTAATAGCCGTGTCTGTGTAAGCGCGTTTTTCAAACGGAACTGACTGTCTGTTCAAGCATTTATACTCAACAGGGCTTTTCTGGCTTATCGATATCGGTGCTGATGTGGCAACTCTACAAGTACAATAGATAAACACAACGGGTTTCTATCTCTTAGTCTATTATGTTATGTATTTTAAAAGCATTGTTGGTATTGCTGGACATGCGGGACGCTTTTGGTGTTTTCCGGGACTATTTTTTTTGATATTTCAATGCGGGACAACAGCTGTCAATGCGGGACTGTCCCGCACAATCCGGGACGGTTGGCCGCCTTAGATTATGGAGTCTGCCACGCCTCCTTCTCCCTGTTACAAGCATTCGCATAAAATTATCATATCTTTTATCCTTTGGGTAAAGGCTATAAAAACCGAAACTTATGGGATGGAGCATTATATTAAGCAGGGTATTATAAATTTAAAGGAATTCTAAAGTACATACTATATACGAATACATGCCTATTAATTAAAATACATTTTGCTTTATTTTTCCACAGAATTTCTGTGCTCTATGCTCCACAACATGCAGTTGGTCATTCGGGATCTGTATATATATGATAATGAACAATTTCGCTCATAAATTTTAAAATTCGTACGGTATTTGCAAAATACAAAATCGAATTAAAAAATGCATAAAAGAAAGAGCTTAAGAAAATTGAATATTTCGGTGATTAAAAGCAAAAACAATTGTATCCAGATGCAGAAATTCCGAAATTATCTCAAACGGGAATTATACTTTAGCAGCAACACCAAATTTGAAATGGATGAAACGAAGCACCTACTCAATCCTACTTCAATTAGTGTCAATTGGCGACGGCGCCGGCGACTCAAATACAACAAAATTGGCAACGCAATAACTTTAAATTATGTTACTACAAAAAAACTTAACATAATCAATAAATTATTGCTAATAACTATTATTTTTCTCGTAACAACGATAACCATTTGCCAAAGTACGGTCATTGGTGTAAATAAAACAACCCCAACTTCATCTTCATTGGAAGGCACCGCTGCCAGCCGTTCTAGCTTACCACTCAGTAAGCTTTTGCATTCTAGTGGCTCATACAATATGCCGACACAACAACAACACCGGCAGCAATTGTTTGCGACCGGGGCTAGAGACAACCCGTCTGATGTGGCGACCAAATTAATGCGTGAACACTTTCTTAATTTTCACGGATATGACGATAACACTAAAGACCAAGCCGATCTATCTATCGCGCGTGTACCAGTAAGCACCGCCTCCCTGGAAACCACCGGATTTGTAGCAGATGATGGAGGGCAATATGAGCAGGCCGAGATAGCTCTTTCAGCTGCGGCTGCTGCTACCGCTGCAAACTCTTCAACAAAAAATAGCTGTCCCAAAGAGTGCAAATGTCTGAATGTTTTATTCGTTTGCGACAAAGTGCACTTGGAGCGTGTGCCTATCTTGCCCATTTATGTGCAAACACTGTAAGTATAAAAGCTCTCAATGGTTTTTGAACTGCAATGTGCTCTTCTTCATGTCCCTACTATAAAACAAGAGATAACGCTACAGTCGAGCAAGCCCGACAGTGAAATACCCTGTACCCAGGTAAACTTCCGGCACTGAGGTATATGCGCCTCTAGCAGAAACAAAAGGAAGAAAAAGAGCGAACTTGATAGTACCCAAGTAAAATTGTTTCGCTAATAACTTTCCTTAGAACTAACCGATGTAGATAATTGTATATAAATTACATAGATGTGAAATGTTTCGTTTATGAAGCTTTTAAAATGTGGACAGTATTGACAAATTCTGTCGTGGGAAGAGGGGGAGAAAATTCAAAAAAATAAACTCTTGATCCCTGTAAATGTGCGTGCCTGGAAACAGCGTTCATCCAAATGGGCGAATATGTCTAGATGCCACGCTCACATGCTACGAACAAGCGCTCGGCTATTGCAGGCCGTCTCGTCCAACACTGTCCGACGCTGTCGGCAGCGACCCACGATACCCACGGGCTCTGCGCGCAGCGACCTACTAATACACGCGGCTGAATTTTTTCTGGGTAGCACCGGGTAGGGAGCACATTTTGCGAACCCCGTAATATACTCTTGTACATTTTATGTACAGAGTATAAGAACTGGTCCAGATCATGCATAATACGAGCTCCAACGTGTTTTAGGTTTTTATTGTGAATCTAGGGTGCCATTTAGTGTTGAGACCCAGTTTCACCATGAAGCATGATTTTCAATTCGTCTGACCATAAAATGTTCCTCCATTTCTACACAGATCCAATCAATGTGATCTTGGCAAATTTAATTCGTTTGTACTTTCTACATAAAATGTACAAAAGTATATTAGGTATTGACAAGACGAGTTGATCTAGCCCTGTCCGTCCGTCCGTCCGTATGAAAACCTGGATCTTAGAGACTATTAGAGATAGAGAAACCAAATTTTGCACAAAGATGCTTTTGTGAATACGCAGAAAATGTGTATTTTGGAATTTCCCTGCGTCCCCCCTCTCCCACGCAATTACTGATTTTCTCTAACTCCTGTAATTCTTGGAATTTCTAACTCAAATGCAAATACCCCCAGCTAGTGATTATGTGTCCTTATGCCAAGTTTCATTATGATAGACCGATTTAACAAGAAGTTATAGCCATTTGCTGCCCAAGCGCCCCCCATTGCCAGAAAATAAAACGAAAAAAAATGTTAAATAGTTTTTTTTTAATAAAGTAATTAAATAAAATAAAATATATTCAATACATACATACATTTAATTAAGTGGAGATGTATGTTATAAAAGGTTTCAACAACATTATTTACGTGCATGTAAATTAAGCAAGTTCGCTGTTAAGCGAATTGATGGGGTGCGCGGTGTAACACTATTTCGGAAGCTTTACACTGATTCGTTGTTGAGCGAATTTATAAGATGCGCGGTGTCGCACAAATGTGTAGACTTTTTATACTCTGTACATGAAATGTACAAGAGTATATTAGGTTTGCGCGAGCTGAAAAATGTAACAGGCAGAAGGAGGCGTGGCAGACCCCACAAAGTATATATATTCTTGATCAGCATGACAAGACGATTCGATTTAGCCCTGTCTGTCCGTCCGTCTGTCCGTCCGTATGATCACCTAGATCTCAGAGACTATAAGAGATAGGGACACCAAATTTTGCACAAAGATGTCTTATGTGTGTATTCTATACGAGTTTGTTTTATTTTTTGATTTTCCCCCCCACTTCCCCCCTATGGGGGTTTTCCCGATTTTCCATTCGTATAATCGCCTATATCTCGGAGACTATAAGACCTAGAACACCAAATTTTAGTCCAAGATGCCTTGTGTGATTACGCAGAAAATGTATATTTTGGAATTTCCCTCCCTCCCCCCTCTCCCCCCAAATCTAATTTTCTCTAACTCCCGTAATTCTTGGAATTTCGAACTAAAATTGGAAAATGGAAATACCCCCAGTTGGGGGTATTTCAATATGATAGACCGATTTAACAAGAAGTTATAGCCATAAATATATTTGCTGCTGCAGCGCTGCTCAAGCGCTGCCCGCGACTGTTGTTGATGCTGGTTCTTTGGTTGACTGCACACATGTTTACACAGACACGAATTGATGCACATAGGCGTACATACACTCACACAGACGCAATTGCTATGTAAATGTGCAATTATACACCCTTTACGTGAGTTCGAATACCGAGAAAGGTAAAATCGATCAATTTTTTTTTTTTTAATTTTCTTAATTTTTTTATTTTCTATAATTATTCTAAACATATGTACAGAGTATTTCAAAGTCGGGACTCCCGACTTTAGCTTTCTTACTTGTTTTCATATGGGACTGGGGAAAATGTTTCATGAGAAGTTGTGTTTTCTCGGCTATTTCCGAGTACATAGTCAGGTTGGATGAATGTCTGAGATACTTAAAATTCTTTCAGATGATTGCGTTTCCGTCTAGTAGTGGGATATAATCCGAATTCGAGTAGTCGGTTAGCTTGGCAGTTGTTATTGTAACAAAAAGCAGCATAGGCAGAAACCTAAATAGAATAAATGAAAAAGAATAATAAATGAAATGAAAGCTCATCGTATATTTTCCTTATGGACCTCCCTTCCACTTATCAGAACCGTTGTTCTCAAGTCAGCTTCTATTGTAACTTCCTCGTACAGGGGTGTTAGTTTGTTTCCTAGCCTTTTATTTATTTTCATAAGTACTTTGTCACCTACTTGAAAAGTTCTGTTTCGTCTTGTCTCGTTGTGTCTTCGAAGCTGCGTTTCTTGGGCTTTATTAATTTTGTCTCTTATTTCTGCTTCAAATTCCGGTGTGGAGGAGTGTCGATTGGTCTCTTGTTTATGGTGGAGTGTACTGTCTTATTGTATTCTATTGTTGACTGAAGTATCAACTCAACTGTATCGTTCATGTGTTTTTCTAATTTCAGGCACCTAGCAATTTCTGCAAGAGTACTATGAAATCTCTCTACCTGTCCATTTGAAGTACTATGAAGTGGTGGGGAATTTATGATCTGAACATCGAATTTGTTTTCTAAAAGTGATTTGATAGTTCCTGAATTTAAAGAGGGCTCATTGTCGCAATATATGTTTCTGGTATGAGGATAAAAATTCATAAGCTGTAAAATTGATGGCTCTATGTCTATTATAGTTATAGAAGTAATAGGTTGAACAATTGCGAAACAGAATTGTGAAAATTTATCCACACAAGTTAAGAAGTATTTTTTATCCGTGGAAAAAATGTCAATATGAAGAATCTCACCTACTTGAGAAGGGATGGGTGTTTGACCAATAACCTGTTTTTGTGGGTGTCGGTCGTATTTGGTCGTATTGACTTTACAGTTTGCTACTATTTCGTTTATAAGACGGGTCATTTTCGGAAAAAATAGTCTCGAAGTATTTGTTTGCTATTTTCCTGCGCTGCTCTATGGGCTCTGTTATGTTCTGCGACTATTATTTCCTTTTGTTCATTTTTATCAAGAACGTCGATGACCATTCTTTTGGAATGCCAAAATTATGTTGTAGGAAATGCTTCCACTAATTTATCTTGAATAAAAGCCAGGATTGGTAAGTCGCACGCAATCGCGTTGACTACGTCTTTTTTGACCGCGTCATACACCTTTTCAAGTAAATGTTCCCTGTCAGAAAAGTGTATAATATGTCTTGTCTTTTGGCCGAACATAATTAAAGTGCGCGTTGATGAAACCACGGTTTCTTCTATAATTATCTGGTTTCGGAAACAATTTACTGGTTTATCAGTGGATTCAATAGTATATGTTAGCGATAGTTCGCTATGTATGGTGGCCAAATCGGATGGTGCATTTTCTTTTAAGGCGTGAAAATTCTGCCGCGATAAGGTGTCAGCAACAAAGTTATCTTTCTCTGGTTTATAAAAGATTTGAGCATTGTGCTCATCAATAAAAGCTTTCCATCTTTTAATTTTCGCGTTTGGGTTCCTATCTGAGACTGCGAATGTGAGTGGCTGATGGTCGGTGTAAATATTCAGATTTTTAACGCCATATAGATAATTTCTAAGGGTTTTTAATGGGTTTGTTCGTTATCTCTTAATGTTCTGGAAATCATAGTAATTGGTTTCCCATCTTGAGATAGAACTGCCCCCAGGCCAACGGATGAAGCATCCGTCGTTAAGTCAAATGGCTTCTGATAGTCGGGGTAACGTAGCATAACGTCCTCAGACACGAGAATATTTTTCAATTTCTCAAAAGTTAGACGTTGTTTCTCGTTAAGGCTTACAGGAATTTTTTTGATGTCCTGCGCTGGCTTTGCCGTTGTCACCCTTCAGTATTTCTGTCAATGGCTTAGCAATAGATGCAAAGTCTTTTATAAAGCATCTATAATAGCTTGCTAGACCCAAAAATGATCTAACATGGAACAATGTGGTTGGCTTCTCAAATCTGCTGATTGCCTCAACTTTACTGGGGTTTGTTGTGATACCGCCTCTAGAGACCACGAATCCAAGATACTCTACTTTTTCTTTGAAAAAGTATGACTTTTCTCGCGAAACCCTCATATTTGCATAATAGAGTTTATCCAATACCCATGTAATATGTTTTACGTGGTCTTCCATGCTTTTCGAAAAAATTATAACATCATCTCATCCACATAAACATAGCATAACTTCCCAATTTGTTCCCGAAGGACATCATCAATGGCTTTCTGAAAAAACCTGGGGGCGTTTTTCAAGCCAAAAGGAAGTCTGCGGAATTAATACTTCCCGTTCCCTACAGAGAAGGCAGTTTTTTCCCTATCCTTTTCCGCAAGTAGTATTTGGTGAAATTCCGATTTTAGGTCAAGTGTTGTAAAATACCTTTCACTAGATTTGAGAGGATTGCTACAATATTGGGTATAGGGTATCTATCATCTGTAGTCTTTGAATTACGTTTTCTAAAATCTATAACAAGACGCTTTTTCCGGTTTCCCTGTTCGTCTGTCCCCTTTTTATCAACTACGCACACCGGATTATTATAGGGTGATCTAGATGGCCTAATTATTTTGTCTTTCAACAAGCTGTTGATTTCGCTATTTACAAAATCGGACACCCCCATTGGGTAAGGATATAGCTTAGAATAGACAGGGTCATCATTTACTGTTCGGATAGTACCGACGATGTTAATATTATACGGGAGGGCTTCGTTAGGGTCGGCAAAGACACCCGTTCTTTTTAATATCATTTCTTTGAATTCTTCTTGAATGTACTGAGGAACTTCTATGCCCTCTATTTCTGTAAAATTGACGTCTGTGCCTTTCAGAAATTGAATTATTTCAAATCCGGATTCGGTTTTCAAAATTATATTTTTAAAATCCAACGTGGCATTTACTCTATTTAATAGGTCAAGTCCTATTATTCCATCAAATGTTGTCAGATTGGGGAGTAAAAAAATTGTAGCTGTGGTGTTGAAAAGGTGCATGAAACACTTTTCCTGAACAGAGTTAAAGCCATGAAGTGACTTAACGAAGAAAGGTTTATGTCTAAAAAATTAACCTGTTCATATTCAATACTTTCATCGTTAATGTTGGCCTTTTCCGATTCTGCTGTATATGATTGGTACCCTTGTTCTTCCTGAACAGGTTCACCTTCTTCATGCGAAAGGTGATTTACTCTTTGTAGCTTCGGACCTGTATACCTAGCAGTCCCACTATTTGGTCGTTTTGTGTCCTGATTTTGGTATGATAACTAAGGGGGAATGTTTTGGTTCCTTTGTTGAATTGATTGTTTAAACTGGGAGGAACTGTCAATTTCCATCGGTTGGGGTGGCTCCAGTTTTGAGAAATACCTATTACTCTGTGCTTTTTGCTTATTAAAATATGGACTTTTACCCTGTGGCGGGCTGTTATTATCCATAACTAGACTTTAGCTGTCGTTCGCTTCTGTGAGCTTTCTCCTCGAGGCTTTTTGCATAGTTATTTGCAAATTGGAAACGCTCATGATTTGACTCAACTTCCTGGCCAGGGCTGATGGCAGGTCTTTGGGACGTGCCGAAAAAAGGATGTCGCTTTAGGATTTTTTGGAGCCTGAAATAAATACTCTCAAGGCATCTGTTCTATATTTTTCGTTAAGGGAGGCAGCCAAGGTCCCATCGTACGACATTATTGTCTTATTTATGAGGAGCGTAAGCTTCCGCTCGATCTCTTCATAGTATTGTGTTATTGACAAGTTTCCCTGACGCATAGTCGACAACTCCTGATCAATTAAGTAAATATGGCGTTTATCTGCATACGTAAAGTCAAGTCTGTTTATGATTGCTTTAAAGTTTAATGGTGTATCGTAGGAAGACAGCACCATATCGGCAGGGCCCTTTATCTTGTTTCTGATTATACCTAGCGCCTGGTAATGTTTCGAACTACCTGCGTAGTTTTCGAAAATTTTATAAGCCGTATGGCCGGCTTTACGCCATGAAACGTATGTCTCATGCTTACCCTCAAAGTCGGGTACAGATTTAACAATATCCAATGTCTCACTACATTGGATGCCTGGTATTATATCGGCGTCCCTAAATATCTCTACCTCGGGTACGGTTACGCTAGAAAATTTAGTATCAATTTCTTTCAATTTCTTCTCAAAAATTTAAGCCTGATTTGCGAGTGCAGTGTTTTCTGCCATCTTGACTAGCATTTTCAGATCGGTTATGTTATGTTTTGCTCGGACTACCAATTCTCGCCTTTTTTCCCTGGATTTTTTTAGTTCTGCCGGGATCCTCCCCCAACCGGATACTAGCTTCTCTAGTTCACTATCACTCATAAGGGTATTTGCTAAGGTTTAAATTTGTTGGTTTGCAGAGGCCTATCTTATAAACACCCGCATAAAATTTATTTTATGTTTTTTTTGTTCAAAATATGTTAAATAGGCACTCTACTTACATGTCTTTTACTAATTGTCGTGTAGTGCTTCTTCTTTTAAAAAAGTGACCATCTGTCACTGTAGTCTTCCTTCGTTGGATCTTCTTTTTTAGTTTTTGTTGTTTGCCGGCTTGGCAATTTTTGTTGGTTTTAATGTGGTTTAATTAATTGCGGATCGTGGTTTCCGTTTTGTTGGGCGCCAATTAAGCAAGTTCGCTGTTAAGCGAATTGATGGGGGCGCGGTGTAACACTATTTCGGAAGCTTTGCACTGATTCGCTGTTGAGCGAATTTATAAGATGACTTTTTAATTAATGCTTTCACGTGGCGATGACCGACGCGGTTTATTTCCAAAAATCCACTAACTCTACGTACAGAAAAGTTCTTAAAATGAAAGCTAGCCCTGTGACCCATATTTACTGGTATTGCACTTTCTTCAAGTGCAAGTGTAGGGTGAGTGCCCTGTAGTCACTGACGCGCGACTATGCTACTGTGCGATTGATGACCATGCCCAAAACCGTTCTTATTCTGCATGATCAAGCGGTCACTGACTTATGACCAGCCGGATGTATTAACTTGTACGTGTGGAGTACAGAATTTAGTCAAAGCAGCAACAGCTACGGACAGAGTTTGGGCAGAGGTTACTTTTGTGGCTATAACTTCTTCATCATGATAAAACTTGGTATACGGACACATAATCACAAACTGAAGGTATTTGTTTAATTTGAGTTCAAAATTCCAAGAATAATGGAAGGTGTAGTGCATCATAAAAAACTCATGCTTGTACTTTCTCGGATTTAGGAGAATTTGGATACCAAGTTATTCTATTCTTTCTGAGATCCTTGCGTTCATACGGACGGACATGTATATATCGACTCGTCTTGTCGTCCTGAGCAATAATATGTATACTTTTGCGGGTCTGCCACGGCTTCAAAACTAGTATGCTCTTTTACCCTTTGAGTTCAGGGTATAAAAAAATATTTTTTCGATTCTTTTGTACATATCCGCAATTTATAGTAAAATAATACGAATTGTTGGAAATGTCAAATCTCTTATTAATTAAATACTTTAAACCCAATATTGTAAATGATCACTTTGACAAATCAACATTACCCCAATCCTAAATTTGTGCTTTTCTTTTTACAGCCACCTCACGGGCAACAAGCTGAACGACAGTTCTGTACTGGATATAAGTAATCTGCCTGAATTGCACAAGCTGTAAGTAATGAGAGCCTTTGTACTACAAATAATGTACGCATTTATATTTACACAATTATATTTGCACAGCATGTTAAAGCGCAACCAACTCGATGTTATACCAAAATTTGTTGGCCTCGTAGAACTTAAGCAACTAAATCTGGCCAATAATCGTATACAACGTATTTCTAGAGAAGCGCTGGCCGCTTTGCCTAAGCTTAAGAACTTGGATCTGTCCAAAAATCAGCTCCATAGTGTGGAGGCCAATTGTTTTGTAACACCAAATCGGCTGGCACATTTGTAAGTGTATCGAAGCACAACAATAAAAGTAGTTACATATTTTCTCTTGCATATTTGTAGGATCCTTAACTCAAATGAGATTGCGCGTGTGGATGAAAATGCATTCAGTTCTTTGACTGAAATGACAGACTTGGAGCTAAACAATAATCACTTGTACACTTTACCAGTTGGTGTGTTTAAGAATCTTAGCAGATTAAGAAAGCTGTAAGTTATTTTATTGAATGTGGTCACCTATCATTCACTCTTCCTTGCTGTTCAACCACTAATTGTACAAACACACAGCATTTTCCAGGGTTAATTAAATGTTCCACCTTCATAATTTGTATATATATAAGTATATTATTATACCCTGTACCCGTAGGGTAAAAAGGGTATATTAGGTTTGTGCAAAGTATGTAACATGCAGAAGGAAGCATCTCCGACCCCATAAAGTATATATATTCTGAATCAGCATGACGAGAGAAATCGATCTAGACATGTCCGTCCGTCTGTCCGTCTGGATGAACGCAAGGATCTCAGAAACAATAAAAGCTAGAATAGCCAAAGTTGGCATCCAGATTCTCCTAGGTCCGAGTAAGGACGAGTTTATTTTATTTTTTTTTAATTTCTCGCCAGTACAACCCCCCCAAACTGCAGCAACAAGTTCGCTCTTCTTCTTCCTCTTTTTGCTGCTGCTATGGGCGCATATAACTCAGTGACGGAAGTTATGAATAATTACTAATAGTGGGGGGAGTGGGGAAAGCATCAGAAAAAATAAACAAACTTGACCTGCCTAGGGCTGGTCTGGTACCTGGTAATTATAGCTCTTGTACCTTCTGAGACTCTTTCGTTGATACAGATGGACGGTCATGGCTATATCGACTTGTCATCCTGATAAAGAATATATATTCTTTTGGGGGTCTGTCACGCCTCCTTCTGTGTATTCCATGCATTCGCACAAAACTAGTATATCCTTTCACCCTTTGGGTATAGGGTATAAAAATGGTTATTTAAATTAAAGCGAATATTAAATTAAATCACATTTGTCACCGAAATGAGAGCCACACCTAAAATAAGACGTCACCATTTACATATTCTTTCATTGTCATTTTATAGAGGACTGAACAACAACTACTTGCAAATTCATTGGTCCACATTTCGTGGGCTCTTGTCACTGCAAAAACTCCAATTACGGTCCAACAACATTAGTGCATTGCCAGATGGCGTCTTCCATGTAATGCGTAATATTGAGCGGATCGAACTAGACCACAATGGCATTAGTTCACTCTCGCGTCAGGGCCTTTTCAATTTGACGAAGTTGACTTACCTTAGCCTGTCGAACAATTCGATATCGCGAATAGAAATGGACACCTGGGAGTTTACACAATCACTTGAGGTGCTTGATCTCTCACACAACAACATAAGCGAATTTAAGCCGCAACATTTGGACTGCCTTCAGCGCCTGAAGCAGCTTAATCTGGCCCACAACAAACTGCAATTTTTGCAGGACAGCACCTTCGATTGTGTGAAGAGCCTTGAGGACCTCAACTTACGACGTAATGGATTGGCATGGATTATCGAGGATCAGACAGCGCCGCCGCCGTTCAAGTCGCTGCGAATGTTGCGAAAACTCGACTTGTATGGAAACAATCTCAAGCAAATTAGCAGCAAAGCTTTGAGCGGTCTGACCAACTTGGAGTTGCTAAATCTAGGGGGCAATGCCCTGGCCTCTATTCAACCGAACGCCTTTGAGCACATGCTTCGTCTCCAGAAACTGATCTTCAAGTCACTAAATTTCATTTGTGATTGCGACCTGCTTTGGTTTCGAGACTGGCTTAAAAGTCACTTCCCCGAGCAGTCGCAGCAGTTGCAGTCGCACGTGGTGTGTGGCTACCCGGAACAATTACAAGACCGGGAATTGCAGACGCTGACTAATGCAGATCTTGTATGTGGTAAGAAAACGATTTCAGAAATGGCCTTCGTCGCTTTTGCAGCGATTGTTTCTTAAACATCTAGCCCGCGTCCAGATTTAACCTATTCTCATCTGAAAAATACTATACTAACATGCGGTTTGAAAAGTTCCATCCTCACAATTGTTTATTCAACAAAATCCAGGCGAGTTTTTTTATGTCGAGGTAAAGGAAGAGGTGCCCTTTTTTTTGGTATTTGGTAAGGATCAAAGTGCGCAAAAAATTCATGAGATCTTTTCTTTTGTCAGTGTTAGAACATCTATGGATTAAAAAACAATAGTAGACCGGAAAACTTGCGAAATTTGTGACCAAAATAAGAGAGACACATTGCACTATGGCCCCAAATCCACATTTCAGTATACTAAATAGTTTATTTTATATTTTATTTTATACAGAATATTGTCAATACTGTCCACATTTCGAAAGCTACAAGTACATAAACAAAACGCGGATTCTATTTACAACTGTCTACCTTTGTTTTAAATTTAATCGAAATCGATCAATTTATAAACAAGAGAGAACGCTACAGGCGAGCAAGCCCGACAGTAAAATAGCCTGTACTCTCCACAAAAAAATAAAACTAAAAAAAAAAAACAAATTATTAAAAAAAAAGAATGAATTAATTAAGTAATTAAAGTAAATTAGAAGACATGTTTTTGTTTAGTTTTAACAGCATACATTTACATCACGTGCCTATGCGTGTTTATATGCGTGTATGTATGCAGCACAAAGTTGAACCAAAGCAGCAACAACAACAGCTGCGGGTAGCGCTGCCGGCAGAGCTGGAGGCAGCTCATGAGCAGCGATTTTATTTATGGCTATAACTTTCTTCAGAATTAACCTATCATGATGAAACTTGGCACACGGACACATAAGCAATAACTGGATGTAACTACAAAAATTGATTTCTAAATTCCAAGAATTACGGAAATTAAAAAAAAGCACGAATTGCGGGGGACTGGGAGGGGGTGTATCAAAATAAAAAAAACAAACTTGACCTGCCTAGGGCTCAGGGGAACCTGGATACCAAGTTTGGTCATTCTAGCTCTTGTACCTTCTGAGATCCTTGCGCTCATACAGACGGACGGACAGACGGACATGGCTATATCGACTCGGCTTGTCACCCTGATCAAGAATATATATACTTTGTGGGATCTGCCACGCCTCCTTCTGTGTGTTACATACATGCGCACAAAATTAAAATATACCCTTGTACCATTTGGGTACAGGGTATAAAAATTTCTGAAAATGTTTTTGGGGTATAAATTCAATTTTAATAAATAGACACCCCCATTAGAACACAACTTTTTCTTTGAGCTTTGTTGCAACACTGTTAATTTGGCACGCTCATAAACTTATTTGTTTAAAAATAAAAGTATACGTATGGAAAGCAAAGATCAAGGTATGTAGAATGTGATTAGAAAGAAAGTTATAGCCATATGTATGTACACAAGTACACCAACACGCATAGACACGATTCTGATGTAAATGTATGTATGCATGTATGGAATATTTTATATTTAATTTAGTTAATTAATTAAATTAATTTTTTGTTTTGTGGGGTGGTACAGGGTATTTAAGAGTTGAGCCTGCTCGACTTTAGCATTTCTTGTTCGTTTTTATTCCGCTGTGGGACCATAGTGCATTGTGTAACTTATTTGTAATGGCTTATGGGTCTGTTTTACGTGAAGTTATGTCTGTACCGCGGATCAATGTTAGAACTCCCTACAGAACCAAGCATGTGTGCATCTTCGTTACAGAAGGCAACAGGTCTCTCGAAGATAAATTTATAATTTTTGCAGAGCTTAATTTTGTTTGGCGACTAAAACATGGGCAGATATGGGCTGTCCTCCCGGTAGAGCCTGCATTCTGAATCGACGTATAGACTCATTTTGTGCTGGTGGCCAAAGAGCTTGACGTACCTAAATGTTACCCAGTTCTAGATCGAATTATTTATCCACCAATGACCAGCAAGGTTTTCTGGTTAAAATATGTTAAAAAGTCTACCTGTGTGAGCTCGTCTGCGTTTCAGGGAATTTCATATTCGAGCAGAGCCATTTTGTTGATGACCATGCGCTAACTGATAAGGACTGCCGAAGCTTGCTTCCGGATTTGATTATGATAATCTGCAGGAGGATTTAACCTTTATGACTGTCTCGGTATAAGAAAATGTAGAAAAAATAGCAGTTGAAACGGTTTAGCGAGAATTATAAATCAGTATTTATCAATTACTTTTCGACAAGACATCAAGCTTTCTTGCGCATCGATTTAATGACTATATATCAACTGAAGGAAACACAGTTGACGAAGTAAAGAAACAGAAAATAGGGATATGTAATATTGAAGCAGACAAAAACACCTGAATCACAATGAAATAACATTATTCGACCACCAGAACGTGATAAAAAGATAGAAAATAAAATAGTTGTTGTTTTCAAGATTTATTTATATCATAATTCTATATTATTTGGAAATTGAATGTCTGTTCTTTTATAAAGACGTTTCCCTATTTTGTCTCCAATTTCTTAGGCGAATCTCCAAAGCCAGTTATGAAGCAGGAGCTTAGCAACATATTAGCAGTTAAAGGAGCAAATATTACCCTTGAATGCATTGCCAATTCACCCGTCGCTGCATCAATGGCTGCCGCGGACGAGCTTAAGATTAAATGGCGGCATGATAATCACCACATACATGAGTCTGCCCTTGGGCAAAAGAGCAGCAGCACAGAAACACAGATTCACCATGATCAAGCGACCAATCAGACTACTATCTATGGCTATTTGCGCCTTACCAACGTTAGTTATGAAAGCGCTGGGCGTTATCAATGTGTTGCCTCAAACGCCTTTGGCACGACATATGCGCAAAAATATAAGATATCCATTGGAAGTGAGTACACACTCAAAAATGTATACATTTTTTTTAATGATTACCTTTTTGATAGTACATCCTAGCTTTCTGCAAATACCGTCAAACTTAACCATCGATGCTAGCCAGACTGCACGTCTAGTTTGCTCGGCCACCGGCGACCCCATGCCCGAGATAGCGCTACAAAAGTTTGGAGCCAGTGACTTTCCTGCCGCTACAGAACGTCGTCTTCAAGTCTTACGCGAGGAAAATGCCTTTCTAATTACGAATGCCAAGCCTAGCGATTCGGGTATATATACATGCACTGCTGAAAGTCCAGCCGGAGAGATCAAGGTGAACGCAACGCTCGTAGTCAACGGTAAGTGTTAAGTATTAAATTAATGTTAGCCAAGTTACTGATCATATGTTACCAGATAAACCCCAACCCAACATACCGCTTGTACGCAAGGAAGTCGTTCTTGGTCAGACCTGTGTCCTGGAGTGTCTTATAGATACGGCGAATGCGGAACTAGAGCATCCCCACCGGGAATGGTACAAGGAAAACAAGCCGTTTCATATTTCGCTTATTACACACGACGCAGAGCGTTACTATTTCGCTGGCAATAAAGAGCTCCTAGTGATCATAAATGCACAGTCCAACGATGCGGGACATTATCGATGCGAGATAACCGATAAGTCACGGACTCTAACGCTTCATACGCACTTGTTAGTTGTGAAAGAAAGTCTTAGTCAGCCCGTCATACTAGTCGGCGTTGTTCTTTTGACGGTAGCTTGTGTTGTCGTCGGTTCCTGCATCATTTGGTGCACCTTACGGTACCAGAAGCGCAAACTCCAACATAAACTCATCACAGAGAGGCTGACTGCTCGTTTCAATGCCAGCCACAATATGCTAAGTGGCAGCCGTGCCAGCGCCCTTGATCAGACACAGTCAACGACATTAAATCGGACTCAGTTACGTCCACACCAGTCGCAGATTGTTTTGGAAGGTGTGCCTATACAAGAGCAGCGGCGTCCACGAAGCCTAACAGATTTGTCCAACGATAGAACAACACGCAGTCGACTTATAGTCACAACAACACCATCATATGAGCAACGTTGTATGGAGCAGAGATTAAATCTCAATTACATGCGCCAAGGTGACTTTACCGAACAACAGGATCATCTGTCAAGCAAGGACTCTGGCACCGGTTCAGATGCTGCAGTAAAGCGAAGTCTTGATGATTTTTCTTCAGTCCTAATGCATGCTCCAACTTTTAATTTATCGAAGCCCTGTAAGTACAAAAACTGCGAAGATGGCAAAGTTGATGATGATGGAAATGAAGATGATAACGAGCTGCAGATTGGACAAACGCGTACACTAGGTGTCTCTGTGTACGACGACATGGAGCTTTATGACCTTAATTGCGCTGCTGAGCAGCAAAGTTTTTTACAACGTAACAGCCAATGTAGCGGGGACAGAGGGGCGGTCGTCAATATTGAACCTGTGCTGCCACATAAATGCAGTGGCAATAACTACAGCAAAGTTAAAAAATCTGCCACTGTGGACATTTAAATGAATACAGGAACGGTTACCAAAAGGTTATCCAAATTAAGCACCCACACCAAAAAGCGATCGCCTCAGCAGCACCCAAAAAAAAAAAAAAAAAATTAATATAAATAAAAGCAAAGACTGTTACCTTGTAATTATAAAGTTGTACATGCCTATTCACATCCGTTTTTACATGCTATCACAACAAAAAATGCGGAATGGATCGCCAACAAGAACATACCAGTGTCTTCGTAATTTATAAAATTAAATGATTTATTATTAATTCTACTCATTTAATTCTATTTTTATACCGCTTGTGATATTATTTATTTCCTTTTGTCGAGATTTAAGAGTAGGATACTATCTACTATAAGTTGAACGATTTGACTTTAATTATCTATGTTTCCATGACGTAGATTAGTTCTCAAATTTATGGTTTTTCAATATTTTTATAAAATGTATTCAAGGTTTCGTAACGCTATACTTATAAAGCATCACAAACTTGTTCATTAAGAAGTAAAATAAAAAGTTCTGTAAATAAAAAATCAGTTTGAACTTGTTTAATTTTTGGTCATCATTTGCAAGTCATGGGTATGAAGTATATATAGTAGAATCTTTAAGTATACTTCATTTTGGCTCAATACCTTCATTAACAACATAAACTTTCTCAGATATCTTTCACACCTAAATGGTGTAGAGGGTTGTTTTATTGTTTGTTTATTCACCACAATATAAACAAGCGTTTTCTCTTGTCAAAAAACAACAAAAATTAAAAAAAAATATTTGATACATATGTACATACATAAGTGGAGACTATGTACATATGTATATAGTTTCAACAGATACATTTACATCTTCATGTCTATACGTGTATGTGCGCAGTACAGAAATAAGTCAAATCAGCAACAATAACAGCTGCGGGCAGATATTACATTTATGGGTACATAATTGACATATCATGAACATCGTAACATGCCTATCATCCAAAACTTGGCATAGACACAATCACTAACGGGATGTGATTACTAAATTTGAGTTCAAAATTCCAAGAACTACGGGAGTCTTGGAAAATCACAAATGGCAGAGAGTGTAGGGTGTATCAGAATAAAAAAAAAACAAATTTAACCTGCATAGGGGTTAGGGAAACCAGGATACCTTCTGAGATTCTTCCGCTCATACAGGCGGACATTGTTATATTAACTCGGCTTGTCACCGTGATCAAGAATATATGTGGTGATTTTAACATTTTGGTGCTGCTTTGTTGGTTCAAAGTTCCCAGTACGTAGCACAATTAGTTTGTTTTTGAAAGATAAAAAGGTTAGACTATTTTGTTATGCTCGGCGATGATCTTTTTTCTCGGTCTTGGCTCATTTGGGTGCTTCCATTGGGACGATGTGGCTTTGGTTTCGTTGTCATAACTATACCCATGATTCGTCACCAGTTATGACCCTTTTGACCAAACCAGGATCATCATTGACACTGGCTCCTGAGCGATGATTATGCGACGGTTCTTCTGTTAAAAATTCAAAAGTTTCGGAAAAAACTTCGAAAAAAAATATCCCAAAAAAATTGCATGACACGAGCCGACGCTGAAAACAAAATGAATTATTTTCGGTCCCTGCTATTTATATCGTTTCAAGTAAACTTATATATATACCATGAGAAATGTTGATTTATCAATTTTACAGCAGCAAGCGAATATGTACATTATAAAATTTTCTTAAAATTAGTCGGACTCTTCCGAACTATTGCTGTAATCCGCTATTAAAGCTAGGCCGACCGGTACTTTCGACGTTGGTGGTGTTGATTCATTTATAGCTGGTGGTATAGAGGCAGATATCGATGGTGTCCTTAATGCTGACTTCGGTTTTACAAGAACCAAAGGTGTTTTCCGTTTTACCAACGAATCGGATGCAGCTAATGCAGGAAAACCGATGGAACTCGAAGACTTAATCAGCTTAGCTGCTGGGGGCTTGTCTTTTACTTCTTCAATGATTTCCTCCGCCACAATGCGCGCCCCACTTCCCGACTTAAAGATTACTGATCTAAAATATGTAAAATAGGTTAGGTTGCGGGAAACAGTGATATGAATGTGGCTTACTTTATAAAGGCCTCATCCTCGCGCTGCTCGCGCTCTTGCCTTTCACGTTCGGTTTCGGCAGGATTATACTGCTGAAGCATAGATGTGTAGTCCACGGTCTGTTGGCGTCTATTTAGGTCACGCAGTTCCTCTAGACTCTCAAGCATTTCAATTTCATTGCGTGACTGCTGTGTTCGATTTTCCAGCAATTTCATGGGATTGCTTGCCTCCTCCTCACGTGCCTCTTGCTCTTCACGACGTGCCTGCTCCTCAGCTAATTTGAGCGCCATAAAATTGCGCGTGGCGCCTGCCTCAATCTCATAGTCAGTATTCTGGGGATCGGTTTTAAACGAGATTTCTTGAAGGCAGCGTGTGCATTTTATGTAGAATCTATAAATGCGTATTCCCAGGTACGTTTCGTTTTCAACATCTTCCTTGCGGGCGTTGAATTTCTTGCCCTTGTAAATGTACTCACCGCAAGTCTTACATCGCATGTTAAAGGGAGCCATGAGTCGAACTGTGTATTGCCGATTTTTGGGCAATTTCATGCGTGGAATCTTTGATGGATCAAAATCCGGTGGGTAGTATTTGTTTAAGACTTTGCGCTCAGACATACTGGCTTATATATTTGAGAAAGTGTACAAATATGAAATCCTTTCGACGACTAAACCAATTGTAAAAGTAGTTAGAGTTGAGCAATAAGCACCGCACCCGTGATCTGTCACTAGTAGTGCTGTGCGAAACATCGATGTAAAATCGATACATCGATGTTTTGCAATTTTTTCCAAACATCGATGTTTTATTTCCGATTTTCGATGTTTTTTACTACTTGAAAAAAAATCGCGGGAAAAGCTAGGTAAGTAAAAGCTAAAATTTGAATTTTGTAATAAATCCCCTAATATAATACAGAACAAATTACTAATATTATAGATGGATATTGGTGTTGGCAGTGCTTGGAAATGGAGAAGTTTTTAAAAGAATCTAATAGCAAAGGTAATTTTTATCTTGCAGCTGCAGTCTTATTTGTGTATGTGTATTTTCATTATTTGTACATATATTAATATGTTGTTCTATGTACTTAGATTGTAATGCAAACTCAACTGAAATGGATAAGGAACCTGAGGAAGGTGGTCCTAATAAACGGGCAAAATATGGAAAGTCAACTGTGTGAAATTTCTTCAATAAGTCTAAGGATGGCAAGTCTGCTAAATGCCTTAAATGTGGTAAAGTGTATCATACATGTGGCAATACCACCAATTTATCTGCACATTTTAAACGAATGCATCCTACGTTGACAATTGAAGAACTATCAACGACCTCAAGCTCTATTTTGTCGACAAAAACTACGAAGCATTTTATTTACAGATCTCAAATGATAAGTCACCTAAGGCATGTATATGCAAGTACCTCTGCGTTCCTGCAACGTCCACTGAAAGTGAGCGCATGTTCAGCAAAGCTGGACTTATAGTTAGCGAAAAAAGGAGTTCGCTTAAATCAAAGAATGTAGAAATGCTCATTTATATTAACAAAAATGAGTGGATCTCAAATAATTAGTCATGAATTATATTTTTTATGTTATGCTTTTCATTTTGTTATACTTGTATTCTTTCAACTTATGAAAATATTGCTTTGTTGTTTTATCTGAAATTAGTCATTAACTATAATTTTTTATGTTATACTTTCTCTTGTTTTTAGTTTATTATTTGAAGTTATAAAAATATCGTTTGTTTTAAACCCTTTTGTACCTTTATAAATAAGACAAATCAAAACGAAGTGCCCTATGTTGTATATTAATTTTTGTTTGAAAATTTGTTAGTGGAATTTCGATGCATCGATACATCGATGTTCTTCCCCCAAAAAAATCGAAACATCGATGTTGGCAAACAGTACTCCAGTACTACATCGGCAAATTGCAGCATCAAGTTTTCTTCTGCTGGGGACGCATAAGCTCATTGCCGAAAGTTAGTCTGGGTACAGGGTATTTCACTGTATTAAAAGAAATGTGTCCACTTTTAGTGACGTTAGTCCACAAAGCAATTATCAATGAAAATAAAAATAGAGAAGGTACTGGATGATAGATAGGTTATTAGACCTATCAAAAAAGAAGTAAGATGAAAAAATATAGCAATAAAAGATAGAAGAAAACAAATTAAATTTAAAATACTTAAATAATAAAAGATAAAATATAATTAAAAATTAAAGCTGAAGAATCACATCAGGTAATTATGTGCTAATCTTAGCTAGTATTTGACTTTTCACGATTAATCGATTCTTCGAAAACAAATCGATTTCTGGCAAACATTTTTTACATGAACACATTTTGTGGTTTAGTACAAGAATTGAACATCTGTGTTTTACATCAGTAACGAAAATCGCCACGACAAACATCGATACAGAAATGTATCGAAAAAATTAAAAGTGTTGCAAATGTATGCGCACAGAACCAGTATACCCTTTGGTTACGGGGTATAAAAAGAAGCTAGGTGCGTATTTAAGCATTAATTTTAAGATTTTTAATTCAAAAATATATCTTATATTAATAGGATTAATAAACATGTATGTACTTGTATGTACATATACGTATATATATACAAAAGAGTGCTAAAGAACTGCTAAGGAACCATGCCAGAGTAAATTATAATTTTCCACATGTATTCACATCAAGTAAAATACGTGCAAACATATGTGCACATTGAAAAATTGCCAGATTTTTAGCGATTATAAACAAACGATATTTAATTAGCTATTAATTGAAAGACGGATGTCTTCAGATTATAAAAGTTGGTTTTAATATGGATTCGAAATGTACAACGAGGTATATGGTGCGAGTATTACCTAACGAGTAATTCGCTTGCTGCCGCCACAAAGTCAGCGGACCAGCATAGGAATCATGTACAAAAGGAAGTAGAGAGCGCAATAGAGTGCGGAAAGAAAGACTTAAAACTTTTTAGAGTGCTACAACATTCCGGCCCCGTTGAAGGACTACCGGTCTTTCAAACACTTGTGGACTGGTCGGAGCCGGCTTTGCTCGAAGCCCGTCGAGCGGCAGGGAAAGCAGAGGCTGTCTGACGAACAGGTGGCCCGGAGTGAGCACCTCTCCGTCGCTGCCGCCACCATAGGCCTGGTAAATTGAGAATTGCCTCCACGTCCACCAGATGCATTTCCAGGTCGTCTCTGATCAGGTTCGCGTTGCCTGCGCCCCTGACTAGACGAGCCTTCGCCGCCTTCACCTCCCACAGTCCTCCGAAGTGAGGAGTTTTAGGAGGAATGAGCCGCCAATCGATCTCTCGATCTGCCCCTAAGTCCATCAGTGCGTCCTTTCTCCGCTCGAACGTCGAGGTCAGAACCTTCAGCACGCCGCTCGCTCCGACAAAGTTGGTCGCGTTGTCGATGAAGACCGTCTCCGGCAAGCCGCGTCTCCAGATGAACCTTTTTAAGACGTTAAAGAAAGCATCAGTTGATAAATCAGTTACCAGCTCGAGGTAAACGGGCTTCGAGGCAAAACAAATGAATACTGCTACGTAATTTTTAACGGGAGGTCATCGTCGTTTGCGATAGTTTACATGGAAAGGACCTCACAAATCAATTCCGCAAACCCTGAATGGGCGACCTTCTCGAAGACGATCGCCTAGCAAATTTCCTATTATTTGCCCCAATAACTTGGACTTGTATCGGAAGCATTGTACACAGTTGCGTACATCTGCTGAGCACACTACGCGCATTTACCACCCAAATGAGTTGCCTAAGAAGCCGAATCAAAACAAAAAAATTATCCCAATATCCGAACTAATTTAGGAAAGGATGAACGTCTCAGCATAAGTTCTAATATGTATTTTGACTCTACATCTGATCGAATGGCTGTAAGTACAGTACAGAAGTCTTTTCATCTTCAGATGTCTTAATGTCTGACGATAATTCGACATGATGAAGATTAGGCAAATGCCTGACTTGAGGTGTCTGCGAAACTATGAATTTGCACTGTCTCATAAAGGTTCAAGCAAAAGTATCGAGGAATATGAATTTTGTGCAGCTCACGCAGAGTCTTATTCCACGAAGTTGGAATAGTTTCATCCCAATCTACTTTTAACTCCACAATTCCACGCCACAACTCCACTCCGCAACTCCCCAAGTGGGTCAAACAAACGAGGCGCTATCGAAATAAAGCTATCCACATCTAGATGGTACCGAAATACATCATCTTGAGGGGCCCAGCGCATGCCAAGCGTTTTAATTAAGGTGGAGTCATCAAACTTAGTTGCCATCTTCACCAAACAAGGCCTGAGAATTGGATGGTCACGTTGCCAAAGGGAACCCTCCTGAATCTAGTACCTCTCGTACTTGATTACATATTTCTTTAAGCTCATCTAAAGAATCTGCTCTTGCCAGCATGTCTAAAAGGAATTTTTAAAGACATTTGAAGCGACAGGGTGAGATCGAGCATAAATATGGGCCAATTCAAACAAGCACACAGCTAAAATTTAAAATTTCTGTTTAATCAAAGCATTGAAGCCGTGCATTCAGATTGGTACCTTAACAGTAAATGTTTACAAATATAAAATAGCCTAACCTCAAGCACTACAGCTAAAAATGCAGCTGATGCAGTCACATATGTGACAGTGTTCAACTTGAAAGACTGCACATCATGTGAGGTGCTTTCTCTCTAGAGAATGAGCTGGAAATTTCTGTCTTTTTCAGACATGTTTATGTTCCTGTACATTTTGGAGATGTTGGCAGTAATTGCTTATTTATTCATCCGATAATTTACAAGTGTTGAACAAAGATCCCTCTGAACAGTCAGCCCAACCTTTAAAGTATTATTTAATGACATCTTGTTCTTACTATCAGTTGTGGTCACACCTGCCATTGCAATACTCACAGCAGTGTCTTCACGCTTTAATCCCAAGCGCTGAGCAAGGTTCTCAGGGAGATTCAACCGTGAGCCGCCATCAAGTAACACACGAGCAGGATGGTATTGGCCGAATCTATCATTAATGTTTACCAATGCTGTGGCAAGAATAACTTGATCGGCACTTAAGACATGACCTAAATAAGATTCCGGAGGTGCGACTACTTGTGGAGCTGGTGAATTTGACATACAGAGTATGTGTGCAACAACGAATGGTGTGGTTTTGAACACACCCGACACTTGGAAGCTTTCCAACTGGAAACTATATGACCCACATTCAAGCAATTGAGTCATATTTTTTGAGTATTAGCAAACTCAAAGCGCTGCATAAGGGTAAATATTGTTAAATATTGTTATCCGCAAAACTACAATATGTGTACTTCGAAATCGGTTTTGAAGGCTTTGAAGGAATCTTTGTGCAAGAAAACAAAGCTTTACTGTTTCTTCCAGGTTCGACTCGCGGTTTATTTTTAACCCGAGTTGTCTCTTCAGCTGCTAAAGATTGGTAACGTCTTTTCACTCCCCAAAGAAGTAAAGGACGCAGAAATTGCAGAAACAGTGTCAATTATGGACCGCAAACTAGACGCAGAAGGTTTGGTCATACTTGGGATACCAAAAATTGCGAGATAGTGTCGAAAAATATTAAACATTTACTGTCATACACAGACTTGAGACTAGCAATAGCTTTCGAGTAGTTGCAGTCCGTTAATTGGTACGGTTTTAAAACTCCTAAAGCCTCACCTGATAAGCACGACACCAAATGATTAAATTTTTCGACGTTGGTGAACGAAAG